TGAGGCAGGATGGTGAGTTCAAAGCCAGCCTCAGCAAAAGCAGGGTGCTAAGCAACTCAGTGAGACTCTGTCTCTAAATAAAATACAAAATCGAGCTGGAGATGTGGCTCAATGGTCAAGTGTCCCTGAGTTCAATCCCCTGATAACTCCCCCTCCCCCCAGAAAAAATATATGTATATGTATAGTATTAGTATAATATTAAAACATGGGTGTTTAATTGGAATTCAGATTTCCATATCAGAAATTAATTAATTTTAGGCATCTCTCTCAGGGGTTACATACTTTTCTTTTAGTGATGTGGCTTTGTTTTAGAGTCAATTTTAAAGGAACCTTGCCTGGCCTGCCTCACAGTCTCTGCAGTTTCCTGGAGACCTTAGTGTGTGCATGGCCTTGAGGTGATCCTTCTCTCTTAGAAGCTGGCAGTGCCTCTGTGCTGGTGTCTTAAGTGCTTCCTTTGAAACCTGAGCCTTGTGCATTTTCCCCACAACTATAAAGTCTTCTCAGGACAGGTGAAACAGAGCAGTTGAATACCTGCAGTAACCTCAAATGGCCAGGGGCACATTGCGGCTCTTTTCCATAGTGCTTTTTAATACCAGGTGACTCGCTAACTAAAATATCAGATGCCTTTTCAGCACAGAATTATTTATTTATTTATTTCGCTGATGTCTGTTTGGAAGAAAAGAAAGTTGCCTTGAAGACTTAGAATGAAGAGTTGTATTTGGAATTTGAATACAGTGACTTTTAAACTGTCTGATGTTGCTTCCATAGAATAATGAATTGTTGGGATATCTGGGTGATCCAGTTAAAGAAAGGATCACATGGACAACACATTTCATCAGATTATTTTTATTGCAGTTTCTGATTTAAATAAGAAAAAACAAGTGATTTGAGGAGGTATTTAATTTTTGAAGTAAGATGATTAATTTAAGAACCTGCCTTTTAGAAGTGGTGAGATATCAAAAATAATCTTGTAAAGGTGTTATTATAAAAGATAATTATATATATATATAATATTATATATATATATATGTATTTAAATTACTTTGATATTCATGAGTTGACACAAAAATCACTGTGTTCCTGTTAACTTTCAGAAAAATTACACAAAGAGGACTGTGCCTTATTTCAAATATATTACCATTGTGTTTTCAGAACAAGGCTAAAGAGAGGCCTGGTTTTAACTTCTTGATTAAAAATATCTTCTTACTCCCTTAATTGGAAATTCGTACCTTTTGTTATATATATCTATTTTGAACAGTGTTAATACAAGTGGCTCAGAAACCATTGAGCTCTGCTTTAATAATTACTCATAATTAGAACATCTGAAGTCTACTTGATTATGTGATCTTGGAAGTCACAAAACTGCTTTTGCCCCTTAGTTAAGAGAATCTCTTTATTGTCAGCAGAAGTATTATTTTACTGTTATTATGTTCTTATGGGTGCTGCAAAGTACTACAGGGCATTTACAAGGGAACATAAGTCCAAATAATAGCATTTAAAGCTAAAAGGAAGGAAAAAAATATTTTCCATTTCTCTGATGTTACAGATAAGAAAAACAGAAACCAAACTTGACATAATCAAAGGGATAGAGATGAAAAGCTACAATTTTAATAGTATTTGTTTTATGGGGTATTTAATTACCTATGGTTGAGTAGTTTTTACCTTGGTCTCAGCCTATACAATAAAATGGGAGGAAAGTGTGTTACTCATGCCCTTGAGGTATTTGTCCAGAACACGGAGCCCTCAGGAAGGGACATTTTAGCCTCACAGAAAGCTGCTCTCATTGATTCATATGGAAAAATAAAAGACCCAGAATAGCAAAAGCAAGTCTAAGCAGGAAGTGTGAATCAGGCAGTATAGCAATACCAGATTTCAAAGTATACTACAGAGCAATAGTAACAAAAACATCATGGTAATGGTACCAAAACAGTCGGGTGGACCAATGGTACAGAATAGAGGACACAGAGACCAATCCACAAAATTACAACTTTCTTATATTTAATAAAGGGGCTAAAAGCATGCAATGGAGGAAGGATAGCATCTTCAACAAATGGTGCTGGGAAAACTGGAAATCCATATGCAACAAAATGAAACTGAATCCCTTTCTCTCGCCATGAACAAAAGTTAACTCAAAATGGATCAAAGAGCTTGATATCAAATCAGAGACTCTGCATCTGATAGAAGAAAAAGTTGGCTCCAAATTCCTTAATGGACCAAGCTGTTCTTGATCTCCATCTCTGTGTTGTCTCTCCACATTGTCTTTCCAGCTATCTCTTTGCTCTCGCTCAACTTTTAAATTATTGGCTCAGGTATTCAAGATGTTTCTTAAAATTGAAAATAAATATAAACCAAAAGCAGATCGAAGCTCTGTTTCCCAACCTAGCCTTAAAAGTCTTACAACCTCATTCTGTTTATTAGAAGTCACTATGCAGCTCAGACTGAAGGAGAGAGGGGGGAATTCATCTATACCTTGTGTGGGGAGAGCATTTTAAAACATCACTAGGCATTTTTTTCCTAGCCATATGTATCTGTGTGTGATCTTCCTCCAATTCCTGTCTGTTCCTGACAGGAGGTTGCTGGACTGGACACCTTAGGATAAGTGTAGTTTTGTGGTATGACTTAACAAGATGCAAGTCCCTGATTTCCAACATTGTGGACAATTTGTCCCTTAAGGAGAACATATTTCTTAGTTCTACTTGGAAACATGAGAGGTGATTATTTCTTCAACATTCTAGAAACAAAAGGAAAATCAGCATTTTGCCCATTTTCTGGGACTTTAGCCGAATTCGTTAGTTTTAACCTAAATTTTGTTTAGACAGATAACTATAGCAACTTGCATTATATTTTCATATAATAGATAAAATATGTAATTATAAAGTTAAGTCAAACAAATTAATTAGTAGTTACAAGTTAATGAATAGTATGCCCATATTAGCAAAGAGTACATCTCTGATAGATATTTATTTGTAGCATGCATTTCTCATATTTGTCATAAAACTGGTTATCTTGAATATTTGACATTAATTAACAGTAAAATTTAAGTTTTTATGAAAGTCTTACAGCTCCTAAGATTTTAGTTGCATGTAAACATATGTCCCTGTGTATTTTTCTGGTTAATAAAAGTGTTCAATAATAGGAATATACTTATTCTAACTTTGATTATATTTTACTTTGTGACTTTGAAAACATGATTTTCTTTATGTTTTCATAACATAAAGGGAGGAATTATTATCTAGGGAAATTATATGAATGAATTATGAGACTGTTCCTCACACTGCTGTGTGTGTGTGTTTGTGTGTGTCTGTCTGTCTGTCTATCTGTCTCCATGGTTTCTTTCATTTTTTAAAATCAAAGTAACAAATTCTCCCCACACCCTGGCATCCTCCCTTCTTCAACTTCTACCTCACCTCTCTTCCTTCTGTGCAAAGAATTAATTCACCCATACTTGCTTTTCCCCACTTTCTTTCCACTTAACTTATTAAGATTTCTCCCCATCACTGATCTGAAATTGCTCTTAATCCTGAATGGGTACTTAGCAAACCTCATATTTCTCAACCTTTATATGGCACTGGGCCTCATTGCCCATTTGTGATTCCTTAAATCTCTTGTTCTGTCATTCCTGTAATCTAGTCCTTTTTAGATTCTCTCAATTTTCTGATCATTTTTCTGACACAATGTACAATCTTAATTGTTCTTCCTCCCTTTTGATTTTGGTAACCCTATAATTTTTTTTAATTATGCTTATCATTCTACATCATTTTTCCTGAATAAATCAATCTTTGGGTGAATAACATAGAACTCACTTCACATAGAACTCCAGAACTCCAATTATATATTTCTGTGCTCTAATTGGCAGATATATAGTCCTTGTACTGCCTGCTGAGATTCTGCCAGGGAAATCCACAGACACATACTTCTATTTCTCTTTCCCTTTTTTCCTTTCTCATAACATGTCAGTCTTCACCTTTTCTTTTTCTTTACCATTTACTTTCAGTCTCCCATCAACTTTGAGGAATTTAGATTCCTAAATGTCATTTCAGTTCATCTACTCTCTGAAATCTCCTTGCTAGTCCTTTAGTTGTGCTCATGTTCTCTTCCCTGAACTCTTTCCCTGTCTTCATAACACTGAAGTGGTAGTGCCAAGATCAAACCCCTTTCTACCTGAATTAGTTCCTTTACTATCATGTTTAGCACACTGCCTATTTTTCAAATTAATACCAAGTTGAATTCTAAACCCAGAGCTTGAAAAGTTATTTCTGTAATCATTTTATAATTTTAATAATTTCCTTATAGATTATTTTTAAATGAATTGGTTGTCATTTAATTTAATGTATAAAAATCATATATATTTTATAGGAATCAAATTCATTATTCATTCATGTTTTCAACCAGCATTTATTGACAGACTCAGAAAATGCATGAGGTAAACTGCCTTGTGACAACTTTATGTCTCAGGAAAATGATCAGACATGCAATTAGACATTAATACTATAGTGTCATAGGTGCTAAATAAAGAGTCTTTGAGAGCTTCAATTTCTAAAAGAATTGAAAAGGTATCACAGAGACTGTGTTATGTAAGGTAGGATAGGAAAAAAAGAGTAGGGGTGCATATGACCAATAACTGAAATTTAAGGCAAAGGAAACAATACGAGCAAGGAATAGCATGTCATCATAAGGAACAAAGACCATGGGTTTTATGTGTATGGGAATTTATTGGGTGTGTTTAAGCAGAAAAATGTATTTGTGATCACTTTGGTAGCTCTCAACATTTGTAAGACAAATTGGCTGGAGGAAATACATAGTCAAGGAGATTAATTAGATGACTAATACAAAAGTCTAGATAAGAAAATCAAGATGATAAGACCAAGATGTTGACTTTGTAGAGAAGGAAGAAATCCTAAGGACTAAATAACGAATGTTATAAGCCTAAGAAATGTCCACACTCTCTATATGCACACTGTATTCTTGTAACTTTATTTTATTTCTGTTTTGAATTGTAGACATGGGATGTGGAGCTGGAAAGATCTGCAGAATCCTGGGCTGAAACTTGTTTGTGGGAGCACGGACCTGCAAGCCTGCTGCCATCCATCGGACAAAACTTGGGAGCACATTGGGGAAGGTAGCTTAAAAATGTGAATTTTTGTTTTCAAAAACATAAGTGCTAGAAATGAAATACTTATTTATTTATCATTGCAGACTTTCAAAGCCTTGATGCTTAAAAGAATAAAATATCATAAAATAAATAACAAAAATGAAATATCATACCAGAATTGTCAGCAGGTTTTTAGGCTTGTTTTAAATAATTGATACAATATAATGGACAGAAGTGCTTAAAATGTGCAACTTACACAGAACTATCTTTCTACCAAGTTTTATATATCTATTTTGCCATATTTTGTTTTGAAATTTTTCCAACTTTACTTATTATTTGTGGCTATTTGCTTCTAATAGGTATAGACCCCCAATGTTTCATGTGCAAGCATGGTATGATGAAGTGAGAGACTTTAGCTACCCATATGAACATGAATATAACCCGTATTGTCCATTCAGATGTTCTGGCCCTGTATTTACTCATTATACGCAGGTATGTTTGGGGTATGTTTCTCTCTATTTTTTTCAAATTTAATTAAGCAACAGGAGGAGAACAAAGTTTACTGAGTATGTGTCTTTATTATGTTATTTGAAATGGTTATTGTTTTAAAAACTCACATCATTACTGATTACATGAAACAGCCTTATAAATTTCTTTAAATAATAAAACTAACTATCACAAAAAGTCCAAAAGACTTAAAAAGACATTATTTCCATGATTTTTCATATGAAACATCTTTTAATATGGCCTTAATAAATGCATATGGGGAACAGTTTACTATCTTTAATGTCAAAGTTTTACTCTAAAGTATAAAACTTTAGTTTTATTTACCAGTAACAATTCATTTTATAGGTTTATAGAATTTATGTATATTTTTTATATTTTATGTTCATATTTGGTATTGAATGTGTTCTAAACTTCTAAATAAAATAATAGGCATATTTGACTAGACAAAACTCACCACTGATTTCAGTTTCTAGAATTCCTACAATCTATTATCAGTGAGACTAATAATCTACCAGTGAGATGAAACCTATACGTCTTTGCCATGTGATAAGATTTAAGATCAACCTGGAACTTCCTAATTACCAGTGGCACAATGAAAAGATCCTGTCGTATAAGAAATCTCAACACTTCAATTTTTTTCTGAGTGCTTTCTGTTTAAGATCTAAAATTCAGTTCATAGACATGTTAATATGGCAGACAGGTTTGTGAAGATATTAAATTTTGAATTATTTAGTAAGTTTATATTTCATAAATGCTGACATTTTATTCAAGAAAGAATAATTTACCTTAAGATTCCTTTTAAAAGTTTAATTCAGCAGAAACCAAAGTCTTGGGGAAAATACACTTTTTGATATTGTCTCATTTCATGTTGGTTGATAAATATTGGTTTCTCCAGTTCAATTTTATTCATTTTTCTCCTGGATATGTCGTCTTAGTCCATCTTAGCCTGCTTTTTCTGAATCTTTCTTTTCTCTAATGTAGGTGGTGTGGGCAACCACTAACAGAATAGGCTGTGCCATTAATTTGTGCCATAACATGAACATCTGGGGGCAGAAATGGCCCAAAGCTGTCTACTTGATGTGCAATTATTCCCCAAAGTGAGTAGACAAAACATTACCTTTAGATGTAAATTTTTCTAAGAACATGAAAATAATTTATATTTGTGATTTTTTTCTCATTTTCAGTATATATTGAGTAAATCACATTGTTTTAATTCACTTTACCTAATATAACAGTGATTATAGTTGCATAGGTCATAAAATAAGTTCTTAAAGTGTTTATGAAAATTAAAAATATGATCTTTGTGAAGTCAGGAATCATATATTTATGTCTTCAGTTTCACTCATTGAACTATTCTGTTCCATAGATGTTTAGAATTTTGATTAGAGAAAATGTATTTTTATCTTTATAAAGACCATTTGAACATACTCTAAAAAATTCCACAATCATTCTTAGGGACAAATTTAAATTTGTGAGCTATTTTGATTAAAGCATATGGGACATAGGTGAATATTCCATTATAATATTTAGTTTTCAGTAAAAAAATTTAAATTTTTAACAGTATTATAGTAAATTACTTTGATAATTTTCAGAATAATGAGGTAGAAATCTTTATTTAAACCTAGTAAACAAAAGGACTACTTACCAAAATATATACATGTAACACATCAAGATCATTACTTGGAAGATTCATATAGGGTGATATGTTGCAATGTCTTAGAAATCATGCTGTTAGACTACCTCTTAATGGAGTGTATCATATCTTTAAGGGGAAACTGGTGGGGCCATGCCCCTTACAAACATGGACGACCCTCTTCTGCTTGCCCACCTAGTTTTGGAGGGGGCTGTAGAGAAAATCTGTGCTACAAAGGTAAGTGCTATTTTTTTTGTAATATTCACTTTGATTTATATTTTAATTCAGTCTGCATTAATTTGTACTAAAAAAAAGTAGGGCTAGGAGTATAGCTCAGGGTAGAATCCTTACTTAGCATGCATGAGGCTCTGGGTTCATTCCACAGCACCACACACATTAAAATAATAATAATAAATTTAAAATGCACTTAATTACACAAAAGTACACTTAGTTTCCATAGCTGTTTTTGGATATATTGTTGACTAGAGTTTTTCCATAATTGCTTTAATTTTTTAAGGTTTTGATAATTTAAGTTTATTTTTAGTGAATTTAGAGTTTTTGCAAAACTCTCCATGTACCTTATATACAATGAATCATATTGATTCTACACTTTCCACTGTAGGCTGTACAATTCTTTATGCCAAAATATCCCAAAACATATATAATGGTACTATAAAACTGTTATAATATTAATGCATTTGTTGTACTACAAAACAATTATAATATTAGTACACTCAAATGCATTTGAAATCTTAAAAAGTAAATATAAATATGGTGTCACATTTATAGTACACAGAGAAAAATTATATTTAACAGAGCTTTGTGAAAGTCATGCTTTTGAGGATCCAAGGGGATGCTTTTTATTGCCTTGTACATTCTTCTTAATGATGATTGGTTGATATGTCTTACTTTCTCTTGATGAATAAATGCTCATTTGCTATAATGAGCAGTCAAGAAGTACCCATCTATGTCAGATTATTTTTAAATTCCCAGAAGCATTTGCACCATCTTATCACTGTGAGTGTGTGTGGCGGGGGGCGGGGGTTGTTGGTTTGTTTGGTTTAGTTTTTGTTTTTTATACTCTACCCATGAACCTGCTATGTCTCTGCCCTTTACCAAGGATCATTTTTCTTAAAGTTGGCTTTCCTCTGCCTTCAGACTTCATTTTTCCTAGGTTTTGAGTTCTGGGACACACATGAAAATAATATACTGCTCTATAACATGCCACTGATAAGCCCTTGATATAGGACAGTCTGAGAAAAAAAATTATATTTAAAGCTTGAAACTATCTCCCATTGTCAAGATGAAATTTTTGAACACTGAATTCCTTCTTAAAAAATATTTTCCATGGAAATGGATATTGTAGTAAATAACAAGGGCACATCAATCCTTCTTTAGGCACATCAATCCTTCTTGTGGGAGAATTCTAAATATGATCCTGCTGAAAATTCTAAAAATATGATTTCATTTGGGAAAGCAAAACTTACATTTCCTAATACCTAGCATTATTAAATCACTATGCATATTTTCTGATGTCATTATGAAAACCAAACACTGATAACATACTGAAATACAAGCAGAGTTTAGAAATGACTCGACTGAATATTAGCCAGATACTCACACAGATGAATCAAGGGCTCAAAGTCCTGTATGTGTATTTCATTTACTTTAGTGTAGTACATAACATTATGGCTTTAAGATAAAATCTGTGCCAAAATAGTACTGATTTTTGTAGTTTTAAATACTAAACATTGTATACAGGCATTTCATTATTTAGTAACTTTTGCTCATGTAAACTGGGATTAATTTTTCTCAAATATCTCTTTCTTTCTGACAGAAGGGTCAGATAGCTATTATCCTCCTCAAGAAGAGGAAACCAATGAAATTGAGCGACAGCAGGCACAAGTTCATGATACCCAGGTCCAGACAAGATCGGATGACAGCAATAGAAATGATGTCATTAGCATACAGCAAATGTGTAAGACCTCTGCATCACTATAAGAATTTAAAATTTGTCCTAGATGGCCAGGCCATGTAGATTTTGTTAATTTGGTTCATTTGGGAATGAACCCAAACTTGTCATTGTATTATACATAACAAATGTAGCAGCTTTTACATTATCTAGATGATTTTGGTGTTTTCTTTTATTTTCCTGTTTAGCCCAGATTGTTTCTTGTGAAGTAAGATTACGAGACGAGTGCAAAGGGACAACCTGTAATAGGTAATACTTACTATCATTCTCAAAATCAACTGACAATATATAAGAAATCTTTTTATTTCAAACTGGTGTACAGAGAAGCTAAATTTTGTTTCCATTACTTTCATTTAGGTATGAATGTCCTGCTGGCTGTTTGGATAGTAAAGCTAAAGTCATTGGCAGTGTACATTATGAAATAGTAGGTATCAAAAATGTTAATTTTATGGAAATAGAATCCTTCCCTATAATTTTTAAGATTTGCATGTGGGATATAGCAACTTATATTAAGTATATTTTTCTTAGACATATTTATTTAATTTAAAGTCATATCAGTAGCAAGTAGTTTTGTCTTAGGCAGAGATTAAATATTTTAACATCATGGTGTCTCCTCTTTCTTCCTTCAAGCAATCCAGCATCTGTAGAGCTTCAATTCATTATGGTATCATAGACAATGAGGGTGGTTGGGTTGATATCACCAGACAAGGAAGAAAACATTATTTCATCAAATCCAATAGAAACGGTGTTCAAACAATAGGGAAAGTACCCAGATGATTTTAAATTGTAAAAATGAACTAAAACATTTTTTTAGGGCAAAGTGTAGAAGCATTTAATTAATGAAGAGAGAAGTTGGTAATTTTCAAGATGTGTTTTAGCTACTTAATGTCCATAGATTAGAAGAAGAAAAAGGATCTAAATTCAAAGTTGAAACCTTTTTGCTTATAAAGGGCATGATCTGAATTTTCAAGAGTTTCATTAAGAATGTGTAAATTTACAGTTTAATATAAAGCAATGAATTTTTTAGCTATGGCAAGTGATACCCCAGAGAAGACTAATTAATTTGCATATTCTTTCTGCTCTGTTTAAGGAAAATGGTTTATTTTATGCAACAGCAATTTTTTAATAAATTAAATCAGATTACTTGGTAAAGAACATTTAGCTAAGTCTATAATATACTATATTGTCTTCCATTGTCAGTCTAAATACAATTCAATACCATAAGAAGCACTGATTACTGTTTTCAATGTTTCTCATGTTATACACACTAAGTACTTTATTCTAAAACACTACAGTTTTGTTCATTTTTCTATAGGAAATAGAAATAATATTTTGACATATTTTTGTGTAGTGTCTTTTGAACCTCAGAAGAATTGTTGAGCCTCAGAAGAATGTTTTTCTTAGCAAATGTAATTTCCTTTCTTTGTAACTATGCAATTTAATCTAATCAAGCTCCATAATAGGGTTAAGCTGGAATACATAGTTATAGAAAATAAATTATTAAAATTTGCAAAATGAACTTTAATGTATACAGTTTTTTTCAGAGGCTTGATATGTAGGTTTTAGCTACTTGCAAAACTCTCTTTAGTAAAATATATTTGTAGAAATATTTATTAGCTAATTCATTCAGCAAAATTTTATAAATTACATCAATAAATAATTACTAGTTATTATCTTTATTAAGCCAAGCTCTGCATATTGTATTAAAGAACATTTATATTTTCTCTTAAGTTTAAGTTTTGCTTGTCTATTGTAGAAATTCTCTTGAAATATTAAGTGTACTACATTTGATAGGTTATATATATACTTTGTGACTCAAATAATGTTATTGGGAGGGATGTCACATTGCAGATGATAAATATTAAATATTAAATTTGAAACTGAAATAAAAGATTGTTAAGATTTGCACCTTCAATACTGAGCTAACATGTTCAGAGGGTGAACACATCATATCCATGCTAAAAATACCATCACATGGCTGGGTGTGGTGGTGCACCTGTAATCCCAGCAACTTGGGAGGCTGAGGCAGGAAGATCTTGAGTTCAAAGCCAGCCTCAGCAAAAGTGAGGAGCTAAGCAACTCAGTGAGACCCTGTTTCTAAATAAAATACAAAATAGGGCTGGGGATGTGACTCAGTGGCCGAGTGGCCTTGAGTTCAATCCTCAGTACCAAATATATATATATTTTCACACACACCCACAGACATACACACACATACCATCACAAAAATCTTTACCTTCTGCAACAGGTATTTATCTCAAAATCTGGACATGCATAAGCAATTAAAATTTTGACATACAATGGTGTACCTAACTTTATGTTCCTATTTTTAATAATTCATATAATGAGGCGAGATTCATTCATGTGCTATAGACACTTCACTAGATATGAGGATAAATAAAAATTGATTAATGCATACTCCTTTAAGGGACATATTATTTTTAGGCTTTATACAACATTGTCTTGTGTTTATCTCTGTGGATTCCATAGAAACCGGGAATTTTAAATTTGATATGTAACCAATGTGTAGATAGTATGTACATTGTTTGTGTTATTATCTATTTTTGAGATTAATAATGAAAAGAAACCACCCTCTAATGTTAAGAAGTGAAGGTAGTATGGATTTAGCCTAGGTGATGTATTCTTATATCTCTACTTTCATGGGTATACTTATATCTCTACTTACATTTTAATGAAAAATATTTTAAAAATACAGTGTGCATGGATCTGAAAGGCCCTAGCAGTTACACTTATGATGATGCCTAAAAGCAAGTGATTGATATTACTGTCTTTTTATCTTTAGCAAATATCAGTCTGCTAATTCCTTCACAGTCTCTAAAGTAACAGGTGACACTTTTTTTTAAAATCTCATTTCCTTATTACTGTGTGTTGGGTTTTTATTTCTAACAGAGTCACTTATTGTTTTGTGCTTTTATTCTTCAGTTCAGGCTGTGACTTGTGAAACTACTGTGGAACAGCTCTGTCCATTTCATAAGCCTGCTTCACATTGCCCAAGGTAATGTTTTCTAAATTTTCTTATGTGTGTATGTAGATGTGCATATGTATGTTTGTGTTTGTGTGTGTGTGTGTGTGTGTGTGTGTATGGCTTTAGTCTGTTTTTACATGAAATTCTATGTCTCCAGGATTCAAATTATAGTGGAATTTATTGACTATAAAAAAAGATCATATACATATGATCTTGAACTGCTAAGCAGTAAAAAGTGATAGGACTTCACAAACTTCACACACTCCTGGCCCTCCTAGTATGTCTTCTCCAAATTCCAGAGTACTTACTGCTATTCTTTAGCAACAAGGATGGTACATGTGATTTGTATGTTCATATTTGCTACAAAAGAGTTCTTTATCAGTCTGCTTGGGCTACTATAATAAAATGCCATAGACCAGATGGTATAAACAACAAAAATGTTTTCCTCACAGTTCTAGAGGTTTGGGATGTCCAAAATCAAGTTGCCGTATGATTTGGTTACTTATTGGGACTCTTCCTAACTGTCAGGCAGCATCAAGTATTTTGTGTCCTCACATGGTGGCTGGAGAAAGGGCTTACTCCCTTGTATCTCTTCTTGGAAGGTCACTAATTCTTATGTTTGGTAAAGGGCCCTCCCTTTTGTCATGTTGTAACCTTAATTCCCTTCAAAGAGGTCCTATCATATGAATTTTGAGATACAGAAACATTCTTTCTACAAAATGTTCCTCCATAGACACTGAAATGATGTAGTTTTAGCATTGCTATTCAGTTTCTAAATTAGATTAATCTAATTGCAACTCATAAGTCAAAAGGCCTATGTCTGCTTTTCTTTTAGTTTTTAATATGTTCTTAAAAATTATAATGAAATTTATCTACTATAAAATAATGAAGAAAAAGTCTTCACTTTTCTGAACCAAGCTAAGATGAACACTATTAGAGGAACAGTACATCCACAAGCCATCATCAACACAGAAGAAAAGTAAACTATGTGCCTACACATACTGTCTTAATCATAGACATGCTACTTCCCAAACTCATAATGAGATTTAGAGAAATAATGGTAGTTTGATGACAGAGGTTGAGGTAGGATGATCATGAGTTCAAATCTAGCCTCAGCAAAAGTGAGGCACTAAGCAACTCAGTGAGACTCTATCTCTAAATAAAATACAAAATAAGGCTGGGGAATGTGGCTCAGTGGTCAAGCATTCCTGAGTTCAATTCCTGCTAACCCCACCCCCCCAGCCAAAAAAAGATTAAGGAATCTAATTATATGGTAAAATGTATTTACTTAGGAAAACCCTTTTAAAACTGAAGTAATATCTCAGTTAAAGAATGAGCTTGTTGTTGACAAAGTAACAGAAGACTATGTGGTTGATACAGGAAAGCAAATACTTCATCTGTCAGAAGGAAGATTCTCAATTATTGATGTGATTTAAGGTATCAATTCTTTTGCACAGGAATATCTAACCTGTTTCCTTTTGAACACCAAATCCTTTTATTTCTACTCTAATGCAAGAATACTGTTGTAATGTTTTTGGTCAGCTAACTTGGTGCATACTGATTTGAGACTTCTGGATTCTTCAGCACATATGTGTTTTATTGAAGTCAGCAGATTACAAAATGGATGGAATACTTTGAGGATCCCTTACTGTATGAAATTCTTTGTATACTTTTTCACCATCTGACCACAAATGAACTATATGTTAAACATTTTTTATATTTTTATTTTTTGGGGTACTGGAGGTTGAACTCAGGGGCACTTGACCACTGAGCCACATCCCCAGCCTTATTTTATATTTTATTTAGAGACAGGGTCCTACTGAGTTGCTGAGCACCTCAATTTTGCTGAGGATGGCTTTGAACTCATGATCCTCCTGTGTTAACCTCCCAATCCAGTGAGATTATAGGCATGTGCTACTTGTTGCCTGGCTATGTTAAAAATTTGTTATAATAATATAATCTTCTGTTTCTAGAGCTTCACCAGTTATGCTATTACAAAGCCTACTGATTTAATTAAGTCATTATGTAATTTTAGAAAATTTTGCAGGATTTTTTTCAGACTAGTCCTGTATTTACAGATTATATGTTTATAGGGAGAAGTAGAGATATATTGATAGGTGAAGTTGATGAATTTTAGCATCAAAATTCCACATTTATAAATATTTATTATTCAATATATGCCAGTACTATGCTAGGGCCCATGCAGCTAAATGAGTAGGAATAAATAATAAGCATAATCTCCATGAAGCATAGACTATAAAGTCTTTCTTAAGTAAATACTCAACAAATGGTAATTCTGTCTCTCTCACAGTATGTATAAAAATATTTTTCCCATAGAGAAAAATCATTCAAGTAAAATATTAATTAATGACGTTCCTACTTCTTGTCTTATTCCAGGAAGGGAAGCATCCAAAAAAGGAAAATGATATAAATTTTTAAATTTCAATTTTATTATGTTTTCACCAAATAATAAAACCATAGAGTTAATAATTTATACATGATTTTTACGTTATGTAGTTTGGAAAGTACCTCCTTATACACTTTTTAACTTTTTGTTTTATTGAATAGTGAAACCAAGATTATCTTTTCTCATGTAAAATTTTTAATAGCTCATAAATTAGGTCATAATTGTATCACTGATATAATAGTTTATAACTTTTAGGGAACTATATGATTGATATATCTACCTTAGAGTTTTATTTCACTTAAGGGTATATCCTGGAGAACAATGGCAAGGATAATATAAATAAAGTAGCTAATGAAGGATATGAAGGACTGCTTGCATAGTCATGTCCTTGGGAGGTTTCATAGCTACAGAATAACCTAAAATAAACTGTAGAATTTGTGTGTGTGTGTGTGCGTGTGTGTGTGTGTGTGTGTGTGTGTGTATGCACGTGTGTGGGCATGCACATTTGTATTACTAGAAATCTTATCCTGCTTTACATTTATCTATAAATAATTAGGTCTTTAAAGTTATTAAATACTTAAGATGTAAAAGTGTCATTAAAATGTGTTAGCATTTTAATTCAAGGCTTACAGGCACAATATAGATAATGGAATGTTTACTAGATCACTGCCTACCTTCTCTGTAGAACGTAACGAGATGTTAAAAATAGATATAGGATATAAGCAAAAAAGTTGCCCTGTCTTTTCTGCTTTTACCTGAACTTAACTAAGTAGATATTAACTCACCTCAAAGCTATTGACCTTGGCCTTCTGTAAACCAAGTGTTAATATAAGTAAGGTAGAGTTCACACAGCATGACTTTAAGGGCATAGCAGGTAGTTTTACAACCAGTGGGAGGGCAGTGAATGTCCAACAGTTCCCAAATATAGTCAGCTCATTTTCCAGTCTATGGGACACCCTTTGTTCTTTAAAACCCCAGACAATTTATTTTTTTGGGGGGGGAGATGGGGCTACCAGTTTTGAGCTCAGGGACACTCCACCACTGAGCCATATCCCCAGCTCTATTTTATATTTTACTTAGAGACAGGGTCTCACTGAGTTGCTTAGGGCCTCTATAAGTTACTGAGTCTGGCTCAGCTCTATAGCTACTGGGATTGCAGGCATGTGCCATTGTGCCCCGCAACACTCTCTTTTATAATGGTCAATTTTTAAATTCAAAGTTATAAAACACTCAGATTTATTTCTTATTGTTTAAATAGTTCTGGTTTAGATATTGAAATATGAAATATGTACAGTCTGAAGTATACAGTGTTATGCATATTTTAGAAATAAGAACTAGAGCTATTTTTAAAAGCTATCCTGAGGAAGAGCTGCTTAATTGGTTAAGGTAGTTTCAATGAAAATTTTGAAAATCATTGATACCACCATCCACAGTGATTTTCATGTAGTTGTTATATTGAGAATCTCATTTAATATGAAAAACTTAATTTTAGTTTTTCCAATGTTGGTTTATATTTCCTTTTAGTGCATGAATATGTGTTGGCACGCATGCTTGCATGCATGTGCATGTGTGTACACTAGATAGGGGGAGAGAATAAACTAAGAAGAGCAATTGATCTTTAAAAATGTGCTATATGACAGTTTCTTTAACTCTAGGAGTAGATTTGAAAATATTTTTGATTAAACACTGATAATTGAACTTTATATTTAAATAAAGTTTTGGGAAATTTGTTTTACATGAACTAATCCAGTCAGATAACAAGCAATAGGATATCTAGAGAAAGAACTTTTTATGCAAAGAAGAATATGATTATGTCCCAATGTCCCAAGGCAGAATCACATTGTGTTTAAGAAATATCATGTCAAACCATCATGACTGGGGTAGAGTGAGGAAGGAAAAGAGGAGTGTTTAGCTCAGAAAGTTAATGGTGTACTGAATATGCAGGGCTTATTGGACATTCTAAGCATCTTGTCATTTCTTTGAATGAAATGGAAAGCCCCTGGAGTATTTGAAGAAGAGAAATGATGTGTTTGGACTTATACATATGGATATAGATTGGAGAGAACCAGTAATGAACAAGATCATCCCTGGAGAGCCTGTTGCGGTCAATTTGACAGTAGATGATAGAATCCAGAGTCACTGAGCTTGAGATGCTTAGGGATTCTCTGATCTTAGATATATCCTAAGGTGTAGCCAATAGAAATGGCTGGGTTGAATGTAAGGTGTGAGATAAAGAAAGGGACCATGGGTAGAATAAAGATTTTGGCTGAGACTCCTATAATAATGAAAATACCATGTATTGTGATGGGAATCCTACAAAGAAATAGATTTGGGGAGTAGAGATTAGGAATTTTTATTCATACAAAATAAATTTGAGATATTTATTAGACCTCAAACTAACAGGAGGGTTGAATAAATGGCAGGAGATATATATATATATATATAGAGAGAGAGAGCCTTGCTTTTGCTGAGGCTGGCATTGAACTTGACTCAGCCTCCTGAGCCTCTGGGATTATAGAGGCTGAGCCACCTCACCCAACTATAATTTTTGAATAAAAGAAGTCCCAACTGCAGATACAAATTTGGAAATCAGGTGTTTGTAAAAGATAATTAAAGCCATGAATTGAATATAAGACAAAATATGTAAACAGAAAAGGAACTATGAGATGTTATGACAGTGACTCAGATTTTCCTAGTTGTCTGTTGACTACATTTTTCTACCAACACAATGAGTAGCAGATTCCCCACTGCATAAAGGTGCTTTTGATGTTTTCTTCTGCTTTGAATCCCCAAGTTAAATGTCTTCCTGACTAAATTTAAGATCTCACATTTGTGCTGAAACTTAGATGTGGATAAAATAAACAGAAGCAATTGTGCCGATTGCCTGCTTGTACTATTGACCTACTTCAGGAGAGAAAAAAATAATAGGGTTTACAATGTTGAGTTTGGTTCTGTGTATGAATGCGTATGTCCTTATTAATAAGAATGACTGATGTAAACCACTTACATTACATGAGTTTTTTTTTTTCAGAGTATATTGTCCTCATAACTGTATGCAGGCAAATCCACATTATGCTCGTGTAATTGGATCTCGAATTTACTCTGATGTAAGTATCTTAATTAATACAGATCTCAATATTCATGCTTATATAAAAATATATACATGTATTTAAATGTATATATGTGCCTTTATGTAGAGAATAAGAAAAGTTTCTTTACCCAGAGACTTACTCTTGGAACACTCAATAATATCACTGAAAAATGAATATATTCATGTGCAAATATGAGTGTAAAATAGTTTATTTTGCATAAGTTGTTATTTATATCTTTCCAGTATGTCTTTTCACCACAGTTTTTGTTATTGCATTATAGTTATACATAATGATTGGATTTGTTGTTACATATTCCTACATACACACAATATGACAATATGATTTGGCCCATATCACTCCCTAGCATATATCTTTTTCATGTATTTTATATCAGGCACTTAAAGGAATAACCTTGGAGGCATTATTGGGAAGGAAAATGCATTTTTATTTTTTCTTCCTTTTAATTCATCCACATCTGAAGTATAAATTGGATGACTACGAATTTGCTAAACATATAGAATTTGCTAAATGCATAGAAAGTATTCTAGTGGTTACATGACTATATGTTTGACAAAGTCACTGAAGTGTATGCCTTTTTAGAAAAGGTTGAATTGGTAAATTTTATTCTATGTAAATTATTCCTTAATAAACTTAGTTGAAAAATTTAAAAAGATCTACTTGAGAAGTAGCTTAGAATACAAATCAGGTCATTCCCTAAAGTACAAAAGGAAACTAATTGCATGTATGCTGTAAGTAGATGACTTAAGAGGGTTTAACAATGAATATTAACCATGATGGTTTCCTTATGGATAAATGTACTTTGAGCAAGGTTTAAAGTGTTGGTTGGTAGAGGAGATTATGGAACATTCTGGGTGGTTTGCATGATATCTACAAATACATGGATTAAATATGTTGCTCATAGCCATACCTTGAACATTGGAGCTAAGAAAGGCCACAGCCAAATTAGTCTGAAAGAGAGAAGAATCTAGGTGAAGACGCTGAAAGTCATGCTGATGAGTTTAGATTTCATGCTGTAGACATGTATAAACCATCACAGATTTCTAAGCCAAAAAGTTACAAAAACAAATTTAAGAATCTTCTTGTTTTGATTTTTTAGTTTGCTCTAATTAGTTATACATGATAGTAGAATGCATTTTGACACATTGTACACAAATGGAGCACAACTTTTCATTCTTCTGGCTGTACAGAGTATAGGGTCACACCAATAGTGTAGTTATGCATGTATATAGGGTAATAGTATCCATCTCATTCTACTGTCTTTTGCATTGCCAACCCCCCCTCCTCTCACTCCCCTCTACACAATCCAAAGTAAGAGTGTACTTATTCAATAGAATACCACAAGAATCTGATTGTGTAAAGAAGCCTGAAATATGCATATTACCACCTTGTCTCTTTTGAAACATTTATTTGAGTCCAAGGTTTTCCCAAATTCAGCTTTGAAATTATTCTCCCATTCTAAGCGTTACAAGCTTTAGATTTGCAATTTGCATTATTACTGTCAGCAGCTTAAATGTCCTACAGATACCTGGAATTTGCTAGCCCTCACATTTGTGTTTATATTCTTATCTCTTTGAAATACACCCTTTTTGAATTTTTTTTCTGTCAAAATCATGGCTTTTTCTTATATTCCAAATTATTGCTACTTTCTCTGTGAGGTACCTTGCTGGCCCTCCTAATTCAAGCATGAATTCATCCTGCTTTCATCTCCTATTGTGTTGCCTTTACCACTTTACCTATTTTGTTAGGTATCCTGTTGGTTACCCTGTCTGTCTTATTAGTTTGTGAGTTCCTCAAGGGCAGCAGCTGTGCTATCCATCATTTCTTCATCACTTCTTCGATATCTGCCAAGTTATGCTTGTTCCTGCTCTGACAGAACCTAGAGCACACAGTGGCATCAGACACTAAGCAAATATCTTACACATAAATATTTGCTGAACACAACTAATGAATGTGTAGGAATGTGTCTATCTGGACTCTTCAGAGACTTCCAGAAGCATTGTTTCTTCTGATTTTCCCATTAAGCATCAGAATTTTTAATTTTAGTCATGCCTGTAAAGAAGTCTTTCAGAATAGTCCATTCAATTCTATACCTTGAAGCCACCATTTTCTAGAATTAGTTTGTTAGATCTTGTATCCTGAGATCATTTTATCTTCCTATCTCAGTGAAGTGGGTAGATAATATGTATCATTATTTGGTTCTTTAGGGAATAAGTTGGCAATATAAAAATTACAGTCACATGGGGAGTGCAGAGTCAGATTAAACCAATAATTTCCAGGGTTCCCAGCTCCTACAATATATATAATCCCTTTAAATAAGGTTGATATGGAAAGATGAGCATGAGTCAACCAAATTGCCTCCCTCTGGATTTCTCTTTCTCTCCGCCCTCTCCTACTTTACACTGTAGAGTTAGAACGTGCACATTTTACTGCATTGAATTTTTATTTGTAGTTTATTACAGATTGTTAATTTCACATTCATTACAAAATTCCACTATATGCATGGAGAAAATTCTTATTTCTTTCAAATAATATATTCTTACAAAGTATGGATATGAAAAAAAAAAAAAACTTCTGACTTTTGAACTCAGCTGGAATGCCTGCTGACTGCAGAGCTGTAAGCTAAACAATAGTCAAACATAGTAAAAGTGTTTGGATTTAGTGAATGTTATCATCTAAGCACTTTTGTTGCCTTGGGGGGAAAAATGCTGATATTACCCTTTTAACAGAAGAGCAAAAATATATGTACAGAACTGTTTCTATTTCCATGTGTTATGAACTGTATTTGGATACGATTATGAATTCAGTGTGGGCCTTTCATATGGTCAATAAAATGCCTCCTTAGAGTCTGGACACAAGGTTTTAGATGTGTGGTATTTTTGTGAGATAGGAAAAGCCTGAGAAGGATTAAACAGCCTGGCTGCAGGCTCTTTGAGCTAATAAATACTGACTGATGGCACAGAGTTCAGAGCACAGCGAGAAAGCAAGGTCACGTAAGATATACACGCTTATGTGAACTTTAAAAAAGCATATTCAATCACCCACATGTGCAGAGAGATAAGAACAGAACATGCCAATGAGACTGGGAAAGACCCATGGGGATTTGAGGTGGGTGGCTCTATACTGAAACAGTTCAGGCATTTCCTCTTATGGGATTTCCTTAGGCTGCACTCAGCTATCGACAAATTTTAGTAGAACATTTGGCTTAAAGCCAATGGTAAAATCTAGGAAAGACTGTGATAGGCCAAAAGAAATTATTTGACTTTTAGAATTCATTTAAAAATTTTGAAAGTATTAGACTTGAAACAGTAATTTTCTCCTTCATAGAAATTTTATTAAATTCAGATTATGTAACTGGTACATTGTAAACAAAGCCATTTTTCTAATACTCATGTCAGGTCCTTCAAACCAGAGTAATAATAACTGTTGCAAATCTAAGTAGAAGCTATAATTTTTTCTTTTTTGTCATAAATATTTTATTAGTGCATTATAATTACACATAATAGTGGAATTCATTGCTAAATATTTGTAAATGCACACAATATAACAGTGTAGTCTGTAATCTGGTCACTTTGTGTTATTCTGTAGGGCAAAACATTTCTGCATAGAATTTTATTATGTAATAGGAAAAAAATCCCCATTTAATATATGCCTATATTTTGGCAAATGGACCATAGAGATATGGTTATATGGAAGTCAAAAGGGAACATGAATGAGGCACAGATAATCCAACCTATGAACATTTCAGCAGACTGATTTCAGTATGCATCAGCAAAGGGTAAAATTTAATAATGACACATAGGACCCTGAGGAGATAAAAGGACCTAATTTGCTTTTTTATTTCTTTGACTATAAAAGCCTGTTTTTTGTACAGCACTAGTGTTTGTAGATTAGATGGTGGAAGGGTGTTACCATGGCAGCCACCCTCAACATCTTCCTTCAGACTTTCTCAGGATTGGCTTTGACTTTGTGCCTTTTGAAACATTCCTTTATATGCCAAACATTGTCCAGGAACTCTTAAATGGCTGCATAGACAGATGTCAGAAGTAGAAGAATAAGCTGTGCAAGTTCCGCAGTACTTTCCTAATAGTGGCACATTTTTCTCCTTGCCTCCTCAGCTGTCCAGTATCTGCGGAGCAGCAGTACATGCTGGAGTGGTTCAAAATCATGGTGGTTATGTTGATGTTATGCCTGTGGACAAAAGGAAGACTTACACGGCTTCTTTTCAGAATGGAATCTTCTCAGAAAGGTAAAAACAAGCATGTGTGTATGTGTATGTGTAGTGTGTGCAATTGTTTTCATGTACCTACCTTGTGATGTATGGTTGCTTCACAGCAGACCCACTTGCACATGATTTCATTAGGCGACCCAGCTTGGGTGTTTCCTTTACATACTTGTGTAACGACTGGTTTTCCAGGGGTGGGAGAATCTGCAGTACCAGAGGTGCCTGTCTCCTGCAGGCTTATAAAAATCAACATGAAAATCGGATTACAAGTCAGAACCACTCTTTTGTTAATTGCTCTTATAATTAAGAAATTTCTTTCATCCTCTTTTGGATTTTCTAGATTAGGTTTTATACTTAATTCTTTCTCGATGAACAAGGCACTGAATATTTCTCTAATCCAGTTATCTGACAAAGTATTTGACAAAAATAATGAGTCTGATTTTCCCTAGAACCAAATTCTCTTTTGCACTGGAACTTGGATGCCTTGTATGTTGTAAATGAACTCATTCAGGTCCTATCATGGTATTTAGCTCATTAGTATTATATATACTTGGGGATTTGAGAAAAATTCATGTGGCTCACCTTATCAAGTGTTAATAAATAATAAGATAAATGAACCCTCAATGATTTTTTGAAATTATCGGTACTTTGGAAGTAATGTTATGTCCCACTTATTTGTATAGACACAGAATAAAATCCCTAACTTTTAGGTGTTTCCTGGGATTTCCAAAATTACCAATGGAGGATTCGTATATCAACTAGTTACTCTAAAGAACACCACAGGATATGCCATGCAGGATATCTAGATTGTCTTTCACATAACCTTCTGGGTATCAGCCTCATAAAAAGACAAATCTGCATTTAGTATCTATATTCAGATGAGATCATATCAAGAGGCCATTATTGAGAGGGGGATTTCTCAATAACTTGCCTCCTGGCCTTGAGAATCAGATATGATATGCAAAGTGAATTCTTGAGTCTATAGAATCTGATATTTCCATTATAAGCTAACCTGAGTGATATGATTCCATTCACTGCTTATATTTCTTAAATTCATCTTGAAGCTATAAAATGGCATTCTAACAAAATTGAGAATAATAATTTTGGAGTATCTGATATGAATATTCCAGACACTAGGCACTACCATACTCTAAGTATTTTCTCTCAACTTCACCAAAAGCCCCATAATGTCTATTCAGTTCTGTCAACTCTGATGTATATACATGTTAACTGATGTTCCAAGTTGGTTAAATAATTGACGTGCCCAAGGTCACATAACTTAATAATCCCTGAACTCAGACTCCACACTAAGGCTATGGGCTCAGAGATAAACCTTGAACTTGACCATTTGCTTGTGTGAAAAACTTGGTGCATGTGTGTCCATCCATATATTTTGTGTGTGTATGCACATTTGTGGTTTCTGCATCATTTTTCTCACTTTAAAATTCTCTTCCAGGGCTGGGGATGTGGCTCAAGCAGTAGTGCGCTCGCCTGGCATGCAGGCGGCCCGGGATCGATCCTCAGCACCACATACAAACAAAGATGTTGTGCCTGCCGAAAACTAAAAAATAAATATTAAAAAAAATTTTTAAAAAACTCCTAAAATTCTTCCTTTTATTACATATATATAAAGAAATACATGAAAGCACTTACACTTTATCTCTTTCTTAGCATTCATTGTATTGATCGTTTATTGCCTTTAAAATCTTTTAAAATTATTAAGCCAATAGAATTATGTAAAAAAGCAAAAACTTCAAAAGCTTCTAGTTGAAAGATGAAATAATGATTAATGGTCTTATCAATATGTTTTAATTTCTAGAAATTTAAGCAAAATGTAGTTTAATCATTGATGCCAAATAAAAAATAAACAATTTAATAAAGAATAGAATTTATGGTTCTCATTACTTTTAACTCTGTTTTAAAAGTACCTCCAAAATAACACTGCATGCTTTGTGGTGTGTGTGTGTGTGTGTGTGTGTGTGTGTGTGTGTGTGTGTTTTCCCATTTTGGTGAAGAAATTTTTGAATCTTTTCAGACTTCACCATTAAATTTTCCTGCTAATATTTCCTTGAGAATGTGGATGTTATGAAGAATTAATCTATGCAATAGCGATATAATTTAAATTCTGTCAGAAATGATACTGACCTAGTACTCCACAATATTGCTTAAGTATCAGACATCTTTTTGACTTGGAGTTAACTTTTGTCTATAAAAATCAATTGTAAACTGAGTCTCCGCATTACCTCAAAAAAGTGGAGTGATGAGTGCCTAGCTCTGTTTTATTAGAATCAAAGGAAATAAAATATGAAAACTTGATACAGACTTTGTGACATTTTCTAGAGACTACTATTACTCCTATTGCACATCTTCAATTTCTTTAATGAACTTTCAGTCTAGCGTACAACCAAAATTTAAAGAATTATGTCATCCTCACTCACACATTCCAATAGCTACAAATTATAGTGGCCTTAGAAAGTTAATCGTCTGGATTCATATAACTGTCATAAGACAGCATGATTTATTAGAAGGATTATGTTTAGAGATGACATCAATATGTTTTTTTCATTTCTGCAGTTTACAGAGTCCTCCAGGAGGAAAGGCATTCAGAGTATTTGCTGTTGTGTGAAATGGAACACTTGGAAGGGGATCATAAAGACTATTCCAAATGTCATATTTCTGTAGTTTGTATAAAACTGTAACATTACTGTACCGAAGATAGCAGCTATTTTCAGCCCCCCAAAAGTGCCAACTGCATAAAAATTGATAGACAAAATGTATAAAATAAAACATGGGACATTAACTTTGAAAAAAGTAATGAATATGTAATGGTTTTAGAAATCCTGTGTTAAATATTGCTATATTTTCTTAGCAGTTATTTCTACAGTTAATTACATAGTCATGATTGTTCTACATTATATATGTTATATTATATGGTGCTTTGTATATGCTACTAATAAAACAAATCTCAACATTGAATGTGAATGGTCCTCAGAAAATTATCTGGTGCATTTAAAAATAATCAATTCTAAAATGAAAAGAAATCTTTTTATCACATTTTCCTCAGCTATTGTTACCTGCACTAAATCTCAAGTTTGTTTTCCATTGAATACCTGAATAGTTTTTTTTTTCTTTTGTTAAGTTTAGGAATATAGAATAGTAAATCATGTTATAACACTCGCCATTTTGTATAAAATAATTCTTTAATATTCAGATGAATCTATTAAAATGTTTGGTTTCTTGGGAATGGCTTTAATAGTAAATGGAATAAGGCAAATAACAAATGTTCAAGATTCATTGATAATAACTAGGATCTACCAGAAAACTGAAATTGCCAGAGCATTTACATTCTGAAATTAGAAGACCAAAGTCATCTTCTTCAACTACTAAAAAATTTCTCTTTTGGGGAAGAAAAATGTTCTCACTGCAAAGCCAGGCTCATTAAGTAAACTCCAAGCTAAACCTTTATGAGAAGAATTCACAATGCTAGAAGAGATGTTCTTTTTGTGTAAAGAGGCTGACCACAGTGGGAGGGTCAAGGGAGGGTTCAGAACTCCCTCCTAGAGCACTGGGAGGGAAAGGCATGTTTCCTTTCTAGCAGTCAGAGCAGAAGCCACCATGAAGATCACCAAGAAGAGCGGACAGAGGCTTGCTAGAATGTGAGGTGGTCCTAGGTGGGTCAGGTCTCGCCTGCCTGAGTTAATGTCTAAGGTAGCAACGGAATGTGCCCCCGGAACACGTGCCTGGAGAGCTCTGGCTAGCTCAAGCTACCAAGGTGTTAAACTCTAAATAACCCCGTGACCCTAGGACCTCTGTGAGCCCAGGCAGTTATGGAGATGCGCACCACCCTCTGTGGCTCCCCGAAAGAACCAAAGGGGAGGAAGGAAAAGAAAACACTTGTGGTGAGACTTACTGAATTGGCTTCTTTTTCCAAAGGGCACGAATCGTTGCTTGCTGGATTCTTTGGTATAGCAAGTTCAGACTTCTTAGCTTTTGGCTCAGCTTTGCTTTCTTTGGCAACTGGTTTTGTCACAGGTTTGGGGGGACTCCACTTGTTAGGTGATGGATTGTGCACCAGTGCTGAGGAAGACGGTGCACTTCATCATCATCCTTCATGTGTTCTGGAGGGTGCTGGGGGGCGTTCAGTTTCACATAGTAGCTGTGATACTGAGAATGCAGCTCCCCATTACTGGAGTTGGGGATGTGGTGGCCGCCAGAGTACTTGGACTGGGACACCATGGCTCCGACCTCCTTTGAGGGAGCCTTTGACATCAAGGGCTTATTAACGACAGTTGTCACCTGCTCGTCAGCCATACTCCTTTTATCTTGATTGAGTCTGGCCCCGGAGCTGGGGTTTTGCTTCTTCATGGACTTTGGGGAGGGAGGTTGGGGAGAGTGGCTCTGTTTGGGACTTGCCTCAGGAGACCTCAGGGGTGTCGTGCCTTTCCGATAAAAATGAGGAGATTCCTTTGGGGTAGGTGGCTTTTCTGGTACCTTTTCTTCTGGGTTTTCTTTAGCATCTACACCTTCCTGCAATCTCTGTTTGATGTAATCGGGGCCTGGGAAAAAAGAAAAAAAGAAAAATAAGATGTAAAGTCTTGTATATCAGGTTTCTCTATAGTTTTTTTTTTTTTTTTTTTTTGCTAAAGGAGATTAACTTTTTCCCCTTTAAATCTGTTTTCAAGGCTTTGACTAAGCATGAACACATTTCATTTTCCAGGAAAAGATACTGTTTATTACTGAAAGGGTACTTTTATGACAATACATTCTGTTAATTGTCCTATTTTGATAGCCATAACAATCAATCAACTCTGACTTCCCTAATTGTATTATTCTTCTGTACCTGCAGAACATAGAGGTGAAATTCATGTTGGTAGAGGAACACCATAATTAACCTATTTATCCAAATTAGTACTGTACACTTAAAACACAGAAAGCACATTCTTTATATATAAAGAAGTGACTCTTGTATTTGAAAATGTAATAATGTATCAATATTGTAAGGCAAACTCTGCAGATAACATATTGGTAATGATCTGTCATCAAAGAATCATTAAAACTTTCTAGTTGGGTGCTGAGGTTGTGGCTCAGGGGGACATCGCTCACCTAGCATGCATGAAGCACCCTCAGCACCATATAAAAATAAAATAAAGATATTGTGTCCACCTAAAACTACAAAATAAATATTCAAAAATCCCCCAAACCAAAAACTTTCTAGTTGGGACAACTCCTGTAGTTTAGGATGTGCTGTACAAATCCTTTCCAGGTTGTCCACTCACAGCTGTGACAAACAGATGTTCTGCAGGTGTCCAAGTCAAGACAAGGCAGTTGTCTTTGAGGCTGCAGCCTCAGGATTTTTAGCCTCAGGATTTTGATTTACTTTATATACTTCATGATGTTTGTAACAATCATGTTATTTTCTAGGAATAGAAAAATGTTCAGTTTTTAAAAAGTGCATTTTTACCAGGAATAAGTTATAAAGAAGCAGAGTGCATCAAAAGATGGCACAGGCTGACAGCACTTAAGGATGCCTGTGGTCCTGACAGGGGCAACTTGGGGGACCTGGGACAGTTCTCCAAGGCAGCATCCTCCTTTTAGGCACTTTAGGTCTCTGCCTCACCCCAGGACCTAGTCCTGTGCACACTTTGGCCACCACTCCTCCCAGCTGCTTTCCATTACCAAGATATGAAGTCAAGGTCACACACAATGTGGTTGGCCACCTTTGTAAATGAGCAGGAGCTGACAAACCATCTCTCAAGTCTACGGTGAGGAAGCCATCCTCTCTTACTTGCTGCGAGATCACTGACCAGCACCAAAACAGACTGGTAGACCAATGGTACAGAATAGACGCCACAGAGACTAACCCACAAAATTACAACTATCTTATATTAGACGAAGGTACCAAAAACATGCACTGGAGAAAAGATAGCATCTTCAACAAATGGTGCTGGGAAAACTGCAAATCCATTTGCAACAAAATGAAATTAAACCCCTGTCTCTCACCATGCATAAAACTTAACTCAATGTGGATCAAGGACCTAGGAATAAAACCAGAGACCCTGTGACTAATAAAAAAAAACTAGACCCTAATCTCCATCATGTGGGATTAGGCTCCAACTTCCTTAATAAGACTCCTTTGGCACAAAAATTAAAACCAAGAATCAATAAATGAGATGGAATCAAACTAAAAAGTTTCTTCTCAGTTAAAGAGACAATCTTTGAGGTGAATAGAAAGCCTACATTTGGGGAGAAAATCTTTACCCCTCACACATCAGATAGAGCACTAATCTCTAGGGTACATAAAGAACTCAAAAAGCTAAGCACCAAACAACAACAACAACAACAAAACAACAACAACAACAACAAATAACCCAGTCAATAAATGGGCCAAGGACCTGAACAGACACTTCTCAGAAGAGGATAAACAATCAATCAATGGATATATGAAAAAATGTTCATCATCGCTAGCAATTAGAGAAATACAAATCAAAACTAAGATTTCATCTCACTCCAGTCAGAATGGCAGCTATCATGAAGACAAACAACAATAAGTGTTGGTGAGGATGTGGGGGAAAAGGCACACTCATACACTGCTGGTGGGACTGCAAATTGGTGCAGCCAATATGGAAAGCAGTACGGAGATTCCTTAGAAAATTGGAAATGAAACCACCATTTGATCCAGCTATCCTTTCTATACCCAAAGGACTTAAAAACAGCATACTACAGGGACACAGCCACATCAATGTTTATGGCAACACATTTCACAATAGCTAAACTGTGGAACCAACCTAGATGCCCTTCAGTAGATGAATAGATAAAAAATGTGGTATATATACACGATGGAATATTACTCAGCAATAAAAGAGAATAAAATCATGGCATTTGCAGGTAAATGGATGGCATTGGAGAAGGTAATGCTAAATGAAGTTAGCCAATCCCACAAAACCAAATTCCAAGTGTTTTCTCTGATATAAGGAGGCTGATTCATAGTGGGGTAGGGAGGGGAAATGTGGGAGGAATAGATGAACCCTATTAGATAGGGCAGAAGGGAGGGAGGGGAAGAGGGAAGGTATGGGTTTAGAAATGATGGTGGGATGTGATGGACATTATCTAAAGTACATGTATGAAGACATGAATTGGTGTGAATATACTTTGTATACAACCAGAGATACGAAAAATTGTGCTCTCTATGTGTAATAAGATTTGTAATGCATTCCAGTATCATAAATACATAAAAATTAATAAAAAATAATTGATATTTCCTTTCCTAATTTGGTAAGCATCCTTCTCACTGTCTTTTGTGATGCTCTACAACTGAGCCACATCCCCAACCCTTTTTATTTTGAGACAGGGTTACCCAGGCTGGTCTTGAATTTTTCATCCTCCTGTCTCAACCTTCCAAACCACTGGGATTACAGGTACATACCACCAGCCTCAGCCAAGTGCCCTCTTTTCAAAATAGGCTACTTTCTTTCAACTCCTCCATCAAAGATGGTGGTACGATTTCCTGGCCCAGCAAGAGGCATTGCTCAGATGAAGAAGAGGGGCAAACGCAATATGTGCAAAAGATGACATCTTTGTTTCTGAATTCTTCCTTGGTGCTATGTGCTGGGTACTGAGGGAAGAAGGAAGCACAAAAGGTGATTATGTTTCCCATCAGCAGACTCAGTCCTGCTTTTTACATTTGTTCATTTATTTTTGACGCCTGAAATC